GCAGGGCTAATTTAAGCTCTTATGTCAGTTCATTAACAGAGCTACAGGAAGGTTAGACACCTGTCTTATGATGTGGCAGGCAGTGTACAGTGTGTGGTTTGTAAACCTGCCGAGGAACTGCAGATGTAAACTAACTCTGTTACAATGCATGAAATCGCAACACGTATTTTTTATATCACACATGGTCCCCTTTACGAATAAAAAAGTGAATAAATAAAATATTTGAGTGACATCATTGCATTACACTGTCTGGTTTTTCTTCAATGCTCTTTTCATAGTCTGGTGAATTTACTGTCATGTGCGTGTGCAGAGCTCTATTCGTATTTAGGTAAAGTTGTTATATGTGTATGTTCATATTTTGATGAAATTTCTTTAAAATGCGCTGTGGCAAAGCAACCCTCTTTTCATGTTCTAGTCATGAAATTTCGAAATGCTCTATGGCTTTTTGCAGTGCTTATGTGTCACATTTTTGTAGTTATTATTGTGTCATCTTTTGGTGAGGCAATTTTTTTATGAAGTGCACCTTAATTCCAAGCTTATGATGAAGCATATTCTGGAGCAATTAGCTGTATTTGATTGTCTTCAATTGTTCATACAAAGTTACCTCCATGTCAGAAACTGGATCCCTCTTCATAGAGCATCCCTGCTCTGTTTCAAACCATTTCTACCTTGATCTGCTCTCGCTGATAACAGCCTTGCACCCTGAACTCTGCACACACAAAAACATGGAGGAACAAGAGGGAATAGAGATGCTAATGGCCTCCTGAGCAACCACAACAAGCTGTCTTTCACAGGTATCCAGCTATTATAGTATCAGAACGAGGACACTGCAATGGCAGATGCTTTTCAGGGACAAGGTGAAATAAGGACAGGTGACTGACAAGGGTTCTATGATGTGAGTTACTTGTACAGGTTGGTTAGTCATGTGATCATATTTTTAACTCCATACCGGTAAAGCCTTAAACCTGCATGTACTTTTTTTGTTTTATTTTAGCTACCTTGAGCTGCAGAAACAAGCTTCAAATGCATAGAAAATTACTCATCCAGTAGACACGGAGCAACATTTGCATATATTTGACAAGTATTCTTGTTAAGCTGATGAATAGAAGTCCAATTTTCATTATCATTTAAGCCGAGCTTTATTCTTTGCCTTGAAGCCCCTTGGGAAAGTATCTGGCCTTTCAAGTATGACATTATCTGTCAGCTGTCATGGTTTGTGTCTGATATTCTAGTGAAACAGTGGTCATCTTCAGGCCAGATTTCCTCTATTTCTTATGATAAGAATATTCAGTGTTATATCCTCAAGATTTCTAATTGGGTGCTTAAGCAGTGATGCCAACGAACATTGGACTTCTGTAAATATTGTGGCGAAAAAATTATTAGTGCAGGTTGGGTCGATGAACAAGCATTATGTGCAACATGCAGGTAACAAGGGTTTGTGAAGCATTGAGTATTTGTCATACTTTACTTCTTAATGAAATTGATATTTGAGAGTACAAGAATTTGAAGCTATTTATTTGCAGATATTCTGTTCATTACCAATACCTATCATTAACTTTAGAGTGGTTTTGTGGAATAAATTACCCACTGACCTGAGGTCTGTAGAAACTTTAAGTTCTTTTAAGAGTGGCCTTAAAACATTGCTTTTCTCTCATGCCTTTGGTTGCTAGTTTATCTTTGTGTGTGTGTGTGTGTGTGTGTGTGTGTGTGTGTGTGTGTGTGTGTGTGTGTGTGTGTGTGTGTGTGTGTGTGTGTGTGTTGTATGGGATGGTAAATGCTCCTTTTACAAATATGTTTTTGTTTAAAGTGAGCTCTTGAATCCACTTGTTCATTTATTATTATTATAATTTTTATATATATTTTTTGTATTGTGTTTGTTTATGTCTTCTGTAAAGCACATTGAGTTATTTAGATGTATTTATCTTGTTTAAGTTCTCATTCTTCCCTGGTGTTGTTTCCCTTGTGTGTTTTCTAGTTTAGTCTTTAGTGTTTCATGTGTTATTTTGTAACCTCGTATCCTAGTGTTTCTTTATGTTCTAGTGTGTTTTGTTACATTCTTGAGTTCTGTGTGTCTTTAGTGTTTCATGATTTAGTTTGTTGTTCTCCTCAGTGTTTCATGTGTTTATTCCTGCCTCTGTGTGTTTCCCTGCAGTGTTGATTGCCCTGATTGTCTTCACCTGTGTCATTAGTCTCACCTGTGTTTAGATTACCCCTGTGTCTATTTAGTCTCTGTGTTTCTTCCCTTCTGTGTCAGAATATTGTCCAATCTTAAGTGTCAGTCTATGTTGGATGTTGGATGTTGGATGTTGGATGTTGGATGTTGGATGTTGGATGTTGGATGTTGGATGTTGGATGTTGGATGTTGGATGTTGGATGTTGGATGTTGGATGTTGGATGTTGGATGTTGGATGTTGGATGTTGGATGTTGGATGTTGGATGTTGGATGTTGGATGTTGGATGTTGGATGTTGGATGTTGGATGTTGGATGTTGGATGTTGGATGTTGGATGTTGGATGTTGGATGTTGGATGTCAGTCTTTGTCAGTTTGTCCCCCGGAGTCAGATCTTCCCTGTGGATTGTGGGTTTTTTTCAGTTTGGACTTTTTGTTAAGACAGTAAGTTTTTGTTTAGAAATAAATAGTTTCTCTGGAGTTCTGCACTTGGGTCCACCTTCTTTGTATTTTCAATGTACCGTGACAGGTGATTGATATAGGCTTGAACAAAATATATGCTGATAAAATGTTACAATTTTATAATTGGACACTGAACTTATTATGGCCTTCGTGTGGATACTCTTCTATTGGCCAAATTGTTTCTAAATGACCTTAGATGCATGTTTGGCATTTCTCTTTGGCCTCTTTTATAATCTGCTGATAAGTCTGACTCCTGACATCCATTCTTGACCATTAATTATCCAAATGGTATAAATACTAATATAGTGTTAATCCCTGATTTTTATTTTCTATTGTCCAACTTTCAGGATATAAAACAAGTGAAAATCATCAATACAGACTCTTTATAAATTCCTTTAGAACCTTGCTCATGTGAGTCATTATCTTATTACGCTCTCTCCATGCCAACATCATACCATAGATTGCCCATCCAAAACACCTAATTAATATATATTATGCATGTAAATGAGTTTGCTGATTAATAGATCCTTAGAACGCAAACTGACAGAATATTATTCCAATAAAACAGCTTTTGAATGGAAAGTAAACATTAGATATGATTAATAGGTCTTATATGTCATTATGTCATATGTATTATAATGGTAAATGCTAATCTTAGCTGCTCAACTCTGTAATTATCATTATCAGTCCTCCCTATATTATCACCATTATAGTTGTTAATGCTAATATTTGACCAATGACTTAAACTATTACAATCATTATTATCAGTCCTTTATCTTTACCTTACTCTTAAACACATACTTTGATATTCTGGGTGGCTGTGGCTCAGTGGTAGAGTCAATCGTCTTTCAATCGGAAGAACAGGGATGCCATCCCCAGCTCCTGCAGCCTCATGTCTTCAGTGTCCTTGGGAAAGACAATGGACTCTATAATTGCTTCAACTGCATAGCTGCGAGCATGTGGATGTCTTTGAATGGAATATCAGTGATGAATAGTTGGGCTTTTTACGTAGCAGCCTCTGCAATCAGTGTGTGAGTGTTGTGTGAATGGGTGACATGTGACATGAAGCGCTTTGAGAAGTCAGACAACTTGATAGTCTCAAAATGTGTTCAACCATTTGTTATCTCCTGTTGTTGCTCTGTTTGTCCCTCTCTCTCTCTTTCTCAGCCCAGGACAGTCTTGGCAGGCAGATGTTCATCATGAGCCTGGCTCAGCTCAGGAATTCCTGTGAAAAGATAGTTCTTTTCTTGTCACTGTATAGTGCTGCTCCCAAACGTATGTGTGCACATCTCTTTTAAATACAGGAAATGAGTTTCAGGAAAACTCGAGCAGACCTGGCTCAGGCAGGGCCAATCACAGCCCTTTGAATTATAGGGGTTTGATATGATAACAGGCATTTTTAAGAAACAAAAAAGATGACTGCCATTGATGTGAATTATTCTGCTGAGGCTATTATGGCATGAATAGTCAACAAACTGGACGGTAGTGGGTTTATCCAATTGGGTGCACAGCTGCAACCCTTGAAAACAACACAACTGGAGAGCACTACCTTGTATAGGTGTAATTATTTCCAGTCCTTCATAGAACTGTATCTGTATTACTTGAAGGTTTTCATTATTCAAATTCTCTGTCTCTCTTTCTCTATCTTGTTTTTCTTGAGATCGTTCATCAGCTCACTGTAGTGGTGTTTTTTCTCGCTTTTGGTTAACCCATTTTCCCACAAACTCAGTTAGCACATAATTTCATAACTGTTCAATTTGAAACTGTTCCTCTCTGCTGTTGTCATTTCAGCAAAGTGAGAGAATCCCCACTCACCCCCTGTCTTCCTGTCATTCAGCGCCTGGGGGTCCTTCATCCTTTTCCAGATTTTCACCCATGCTCTCGACCCCCCTCAGCACAACTGCCAGTGTCTAGACTCCATCAGGGGGATTTTCAGCCTTTCTTGTTGATATCATACTGCCTGCAGCTAATCGTTTAGCTTCAGGAGCTCATGCATTGACAAAGTTGCATCTGTCAAAGAGGATTCTAATTTACTTTTATTTCATTCATGAAATAATAAGCCAGGCAAGAGACACTTACAGGTAGTGGAAGAAGTCTTTTAATGGTGAGGAAACAGGCAGAACTAGCAGACAGAGATAAAACACTCCAGGTGTGAGTACTTAACAAAAAAATAAATTGAAAGAAAACAGATGGAGGACAGACAGACAGAGAGAAAGAGATAAGTTGCAATGGCAGGGGAAGCAGACGAGATTTGAGCCATGCTAGTGGCTCTTCATGCTAATGAGTAGTTAGTACACCTCATCATGTTCTCCTCTAGTCTGGCTTGGTGCTTTGGGATACAGGTAATAGAGATAATAACACTGTTTCACTCCAGACTTTTTTTTTTTTTAAGTGAGTTCAGCAACTACATGAACTCGTGATCGTCTTTTGAAGATGTCAGCTTGTGGGCGGAACTTTAGGCAGGATTATTTGCCGTATACGTCCATTGTAAAGCTTCTATAACTTCACTGTATATGTGAACTTTTAACAGGCAACATAGTTCTGTGACTTCATACAAAACGTTTCTGTATCTGTATTTAAATAAATGAAGTCCTTTTTACACTTTGTATACTCATTACTCCTTCCATTAATCATAGATATCCATATTCAAAGGCTTAACACTTCTTCTTACATTTTGATTTCTAACTGAGGCCTAGAGTTTACTTCAGCTGCATCATTCTGCCCGCTTTGTAGCTGCACAGCTCCAGCAGTGTCTTATATACAGCTCGAGATGGCAGCCATTCTCACAGCCCGGCTGCCTCTTCTTCACATGGTGTAAGCCACCCAGTAGATCACATTCACCACAGCGAAAGTGAAGGGGAAAACGGCCCTGGCATAGATGTCGATCGTGTCGGCATCAATGGGCTTGCAGACGCACTTGGAACAGCACTTCTTTTCCTCCTTTGTCTCCTCTGCCTGCTTGGACCTTCTCCTCCTCGGCTCAGTCTCCTCGCTGCCGCCCTCTCCGGGGATTTCACTGCTCGAGCGCTGGGCCCGCCCATGGCGGTTAGCAATCATCACGCTCTGGTTCATGCCGGTAACCGAGAGGGAAAACAGAACCATAGCCTGTTTTCCATTCTTCACAATTGACTGTAGGGAGGCACAGAGAAGAATGTAAAAAAGAATGTTTAATCTCTCAGCATTGAGTAGCATATTTGACCGGCAGTAAGCCCTTCTGCTGCCTTCTAAATATCTAAAGTAGAGAAAAGGGGAACATAATAGCTTTGCATGCTTTGGGATGCAAAAGGCACACTTTTCCCTGTTTCCCATTTCATATGCATGAGATATTTCTATAATGCCAGATTTCAGTCATGATCTGCAGAGAGCTTTACATGTAGTTTTCAAGTCTTGATATTTTAAGAAACACCAAAAGCATAACGCTTTTTTTCTCTTGTATTTTGTATTTTATCTTGTAGTTCATATTTCTCGAAGTCAGTAAAATGTTAATGCTTTGGTTTGAATGCCTTGGCCATGGTCTTTATTTAAGAGGCATGATAACGTTTTACAGTCCCCTCACCCCATCCTCAAAATATGTATATATACTGATGTAAGCACATGATGGGGAATGATTTCCTCACCTCCGAGCTGAGCTTGTTGGCCTTCACCTTGGCCTTCTCTTTAAGTCTGTAGTCGGCGTTGTAGTGTGCAAAGGCATACTCAATGAGTGCAGCGAACACAAACACGTAACAGATCCAGAAGTAGACGTCTAATGCCTTAATGGCTGATGCTCGAGGCAGGGAGGAGCGGGCGCTTACCATCAATGTGGTCATAGTGAGAACAGTTGTGATCCCTGTGGTGAGGACACAGACACAAAGTATATATGAGGGTTCAGAGACTTTAAAGACATGCTGGAGGCATCGCCATATAGCCGGCAATGTCAGTCACTTGTCACTTGGCAAAAAGGAGTAACTAGAGGCTTAACGATGGCAGTCCTCTAGTTAACTGTTCATGCTACTTTGGTTATGTACCTAAAAGAACAACTTCAGTAGGGAAAATATAAAGAGGAATGAACTGCATGTTACAATGGACATTTTAATTGTCTGATAGGGAATGTAATTGCTGTGGAGGCTGGGACCAATACAATAAACTTTTGCACACTGAAAAACATTTTCCAATCTCTAAAATCCAATCTATAAAATTTGTATTTTCCTATATATTCATGACATATATATGTTATGTTACCTGCAGCAGGCAAAGTATTCACACTGTAAACGATACAATAATTATTGAATAGAAGAAGACATCAGAGGATGCCCAAATGGAATGTAAACATTATCTTCACTTTCAAATTTAATTTGTTTTCTTAGCTGCTTAATTGATCAAAAACATTATTTAAATCCTCATAATCAAAAAACAAATGGCTCATAACAATCTGATATCAATTTTATGACTTTAATCCTGCCGAAGAGATTCTTTCTGTCTGAATACTACAACAAAAAAATGTAGCCTCCAATCTTTTTGAACTACAACTGGTCTTGTTAAAATGACTTCTAAGATGATCAAGCACTGTTTAATAGTGCAGTTGATGTATTTCATCTGTTGGTCACTAGATGGCGGTCTTGTCAATGGTAGGACCTCCATTTTAGTCTGTGTTTATATCATTCTGATTAGATTGTAAACTATACACAAGTCACATTGGAGAGTTTGTCAAGACAGTATATCCTGGTTAATACTTGCAGGATTACTTACTGATTGGAAAATGAGTGCATCTTGATGTAGACTGTCACTAACGAAACTTGTGTGTGTGTGTGTGTGTGTGTGTGTGTGTGTGTGTGTGTGTGCATGCGTGCATGTGTGTGTGTGAGAAGGAGTGCAAGAGACAGAGAAAGACAGAGATAAATATGCAAGCACTGACCCAGTTGTTAAGTATAAATACTCCTAAGGTTATTGCTTGACATCTTTAAAGGTTAAGAAATATTATAATACATTATAATATTAACATTTGGCTTATGTTGTGTTAATCCTTATCACAACTTTATGCAACTGTCCTGTATGCTTAATGACTCTTTTATAATTTTTACATTTATGTTGAGTAGCTGAGGAGTATGACATTGAAACATAAAAAGCATGTCTTGTTGCTTTAAAGACAATGTAGACAACTGAGCGTCTTAACCCCCATACCCAGTGCCTCGTTATGTCACCCATGGTTGGAGCCGCTGGCAATGTGACCCTTATTTTTTAATTTTGAAGGTAATATGTTGTACACACTACTCTACCATCAGCTTTTCATTTCTTTGTGGATGTTAATTCTTATATGCTCAACATGCAGTGATTCTTTATGTACTGTCTGTAGTTATAAACTACCAAAGCCAAATAATACAAGAGTAATAAGACCCTAGTTTTTCTGTCTCTTCTGTCCTTCTGAGTGAGACTCAATTCTTATTTTATGTACCAAAGGTTACTTTTGACAGGATGATTAACGACAGTATCTTCATTATACCAGATGGGATTTGAACCTGGGCTGCCCGCTTGGACTACTATAGCCTCCATACATGGATCACTGCTCCACCAGCGCATCAAGAAAAGATACCTTTTACATTTTGAACTTTTAATGATCTCTTGCACAGAACTCAGAAAAAAAATGTAACTTCTTAATATTAGTTAAAGCATTCGAACTGCTTATAATATACAAGAAACAGCTGACTTGTCAATGCAGATCACAGACAGACGTCAGGAAATTCAGACTAAAAGTCTGGTTGCTGGCAGTTCAATGTATGACTAAGCAACCTGCAACATCTGACAAAAACAAAAGGTTACACTCGTGCTAAATGGTTAAACATTCTACAGATTCATCAACATTTTCACTAATTAAAGTGACACTTTTTAGATATTATTTTAGAAGGTAAAAAGTAACCAATACTGACCTAAGGATACACGGGCAGGGACTGCTGATTGGCTGATCCAAAAGGATACCCAAGACATGGCAACCAGTAGAATGGAAGGCATATATGACTGTATGATGTAGACGCCTCGGTTACGTCTCAGCTCGAAGCGAAGGCTGAGTCTTGGGAATCTCCCCGCTGGGAAGCAGAGGACAGACACTGAGTTAACACTGCTTCTCTGGAGAAGCTAATTATCAGTTAGAAAAGGTCCAGCTGTTCTACACAGATACTGATACTATAGTCCGACTGACCATGTTTCTTTTCCATGGTAGCAAGGCTTCTACAAGATATAGGAGCATTAAAACTACACTTGCAGTGGCAGCTCCTCTCATCTCCTAAACCTCCTGCCTGGCTCAGCAGTGAGCCTGACTTCATCCATTCCCTCTTTGCATAGAATATAACCACAGAAGTGCTTGATGTTTAAAAATAATAATAATAATAAGCATCAAAAAGAATTTCAGGCTTCACTGTAAGAGGCAAACCAAGTCCAAAATCTCACAACAGTAGATAATGCATGAAAAAAAACAAGAGACATGCTAGGGGCTTTTAAACTGAACAAACTTGACAACTGGAGACAAACAGAAGAAACTGAGATGAACTCTCACCAGATTTAAAGTTCATCATTTCTGTGACAAACCGATAGTCTGTGATGGTAAACTGGGAGAGCTCCAGTTTGTCCAGGCCATGGATGTGTCTCTGACTCTCAGACCAGTGATACACTATGTCCTCTGAGGAGTAACCATCTAGCAGGGGAAAAAGATCAATCCAGATTAGAAAGATGCAGTAGTTATAGGGTTGCTCACCACTTAAGATGTTTTATCATAGCACTGAAGTTCACAGGAAGCTTGTAAATGTGTATTCACAAGCATGTCTCAAATGTTATGTCCAATGTGAATGTGTTAATGTTTCATATTAGATTGCCAACATCTCAGGGTAGGGACTTGGGTTTGGTACGGACCAAATTTTGTAATTTGTCTCGTAGCTGGAGAGGTGCCTGTTCAATTCCTGAGCACTGCAGAGAGGCCCTACAAGGTACCAGCACCAGCACCCCCCTTCCCCCCCAGCTCAGGAGCGCTCGCTGAGGGCAACTCTGACATCTCTCAATTAGTGCATGTCCATAGGATCCTGTTTGTACATGTATGTGTATATTTCAGCCTATGCGTGTGTAGTTTGTTCACATCACAGTGTAAAATTAGATATCCCCTCGATGAATTCTTCTTCTACTATGTTACAAATCCAGGCAAAATAAATAAACTCTTCTCTGAATTAGTAGTTAGGTGTACTAGATGCAAACATTAAATTGATTTGGCAAAATGAGTAAACATCGGCTACTGACATCGGTTCATGCTCCATTATTTGCCAATGTCTGTCAACAGGGACGATATTGGCCGATACCAATGTTGATCAGATGCATCTGTGCATTCCTAATTCTGAGCAAAGCTGATTGAAAGCATGAAATTAAATAAAATGTATAAAACAAAACCAAAACAAAGTAGACTCCTCTAGATGTCCCTTTAATTTAGTAAGGACTGTTGTGTTGTGTTGATTGTGTGTGAAATAAGTCAGTGTGTGAACCCCAACTTACAGCTCTCCAGGTCTAGCATACATTCCTGTTCATCCATGGGATACTTGGTCAGGTCCATATCACATGCCACTGTTGAAGTGATTCTGAAAAAATAAAAATACAATTATGAACACTAAAACAGTTGGCATTTTGCTGTTATTAGTCAGTGGAAACTTGGACAAGAAGACCACTAAGAAGTAGTAGACCCCTGTCGACAGCTACAACACATTCCATGATCAAAACTCATTCATGATTTTTTGGTAACATTTGAAATGTGTAATATGCAACTTTCAAACCTGTAGAAGTCACATTTCAGCACAAGTCTCTGAGATAAAAAAAAAAAACAACCTCAGCGCAGCACCTCCCTCCCTCCTGCTCCCGTCCATTAGTGTGCCAATGGAGTGCAGCTGTTGAAAGACTAATCTCCATACGGACATAAAGCCCAAAGATGATTTGGTTCTTATTACTTCGTATAATAGGAGACCAAAAACTTTTTTTTTTTTTGGTTTGGAAAGTCTGATGGTTCTCCTGCAATTATGTGACCATCCGAGATTATGCGTCTAAAAACACAGTGCACATATTGAATATTGTGATATTGAGGTCCTGGTTGTCTTTGGTGAAAATTTGGCTATAGCATACAAGTTAAACATCAAAGTAATACAAACTGTGGAGGTTAAGAGGTTTAGAACCAGTTTAAATGCTAAAGACAGTATTCTGTGTACTCATACCGGCTGCTGTATAGGATGACTCCATTGGGCTGCAAGCGGATCAACTTGTTCTCCACGGTGACATCGTGGAACCAAGCAGATTTGGCATTAACAATGAAAGTGTCAGGGAGCCACAGCTTGTCCACAAAACGACTATCTAACCCCAATGTCTTGTTGGTGTGATTGTAGGACAGGCGGTCATCGTGCCAGCTCTGCCGCAAGAACACAGTCATTGTATAGTCCTGCCAGGAACAACAAGCACACAGGAATTTACTTGGCATGTGATAAAATATGTTACAATTTGTTACAATGTTACAATTCACTTAGCAGACGCTTTTATCCAAAGCGACGTACACCAGAGAGTAAGTACAACACTAATCCATTCAAACACCGCCAACGAAGCAGCGGGAGCAATGCGTGGTTAAGTGTCTTGCCCAAGGACACGTCGGACATGTTGCTTAGCTGGGGATCGAAGTTTGTGAAGTTTCTTGTTATAAATCCATTCCGATCCTGTATTTCATCATGCCTATAAATCTCTCTATTTCAGCCCTGCTCAGAACAGGCTGTTTCTGTGTCTGTAGCTTTAAATATGTAAATGAGCTGTGTCTGACCACGCCCCCTCTCTGGAAGGGCTCGGGTGGCTTTCCTACACCAGGCTGGATTTTTTACTGTGAGTAGGCAGACTAATAGGGCAGAACAAACGCCTAGCTGTGGGGGAGTCACCCACCTGGGGGAGGTCTTACTGCCCTTTGTGATGTCACAAAGGGAACATCTCTAAATGGCCTGCTTGAGCACACATTTTCTGAAAAGTGGAGCAGGCAAAAGACAGAGAGAATGGACTTTTTTCATAGGGGATTTGTAGACAGACTAGTGAAACATATAAGTGTTAGAAAAACATGGTAAAGTGTATTTTGTATCGTATGTAACCTTTAATTGACCAATGTCTACCAATCTTTCAAAGTAGACCCAAATTGTTGCCCAATTATACATATTTTTAGATAAATATTTTGTCATTATATCTCAAGGCGAATCAGAAAACAAACAGGATGTTCCAAGGGACTTTAACCATGCAACTTATTCAAACTTTTTCTGTTGAAGCAAGGGAAATAAGTCTTTGTAAAATAATCAGGGCTGCGTTCACAATGAGAGCTACTCAGTAGATTTCATTCTAACCATACCATATCCATGGAAGTATCAAATTATCTTTAAACTCAAAGCCAATGTGTCAAACATGTTCACACTGAGTACTTACAAACACTCCAGGATAAATCAGGATTATGCAAATAGCAAATATTTGATCTTTGCCGCTATAGTGAAGTTGAGGGAAGACAGAGAATGTCACTGTAGAAGGGTTGAGAAAGGGAATGTATACTTTACCATGTTGGCTTCAGAAATGTGGTCAATGCTGGCCACTTCGATAGCCATGGCCACATTCACTGGTGGACCTGCGGAGGGAGAAGTGAGAAAAAGAAAACACACCTAACCCCTTCATGATTGAACACACACCCACACGGAGCTTCCCTGCTCATTTTGGATCCATCAGTATCTCTCATCCTCACTCCAAGAGCCATCTGTTTCCCTCCCACCCACCATCCTCCCACGTCTCCTACACTCCTACAGTGCATAGAGATGAAGCATTATTCAGCTTAACCAAGCTAAGTGGCACATCAAACTGTGGGCATTCAAAACTGCACTGAGCTTTTACAGACTGGCACAGTGTGAGCTCCTGCCAACACTGACACGCTCACACACACACACACACACACACATGCACACACTGATGTATTTTTTTAATTCAACAGTTTGTCATATAATTAGAATGGACTGTGTCTTCTGTTATTGGATGCGAGAGGGCAGAGACTACAGGGGAGTTCACTTATGCAGAATGAAAGGCTATTTATACTGAACATTAAGGAATCATATATCAGAATTTTCCCCCATTCAACAACATCCCCAAAAACTTTTTCTAGCAAATAAAAATCTACTGGCTCTGCATTAGATGTTAAGTGTTACATATTTTTTAAAAAGTGTATTTTGCAAATAATGTCCATGAAATATGTTTTGCCCTCTTACTTTGTCTGTCTCCTGACTGAATGTGGTAGAGAAGCCACACAGGTTTGATTTAAACCCAGGTCGCCTGCTTGGAGAACTACAGTCTCTGTACATGGAGCGCGGCCTAACTGCTAGACCATCTGTTCCCCATAGATTTGTATGGCTGCTGGTTATTGATAGTAATATAGTCTACATCTGTAAATCAAAGACATTTTGATAAAAACATGTCGAAATAATGTTTTTATTATTATTTCCCTACAACCTTGTATTATTTACACTGAGAGATGTGACAGATATATGGAATTCACATCGCTGGATGAAGATTGTGAAATGCATAATATTCCAATCCTGTGGATTTCTGCACAGTTACCAAAACGGAAGGTAAGCCTTATAATAAACATGCAGTGTCCATCTCCGCAGAAGGACATTGTAGAAAAGGGGGGAGGAAAGACAAACAGCAAGGAGGGACCCACACTGCCGAACTGTGTATCATAAAAAACAACGCAATAAAAAAATGAACACAGAAAAAGAGAGTCGTCTTTTCTCCATATGTATTATTATTGGCATTATAATCTCTTCTCCTTTTATGAGTCACAGTGACTTTGATAACTATTCACTGACTATAGACTGACATATCATATTTGAATATGTCTGATCAATGCTCTCTACATTTAGAAAACTGTACATCCATCTGTAAGCATGCTGTTGTCCATTTATTTATATTTACTTTCAGCATACTAAATGCCCAGTTCAATGTAAAATTCAATGAGCTGATCTATATTTTACTGTGTTGCATTGGGAGCAGGCAGGCGGAAAAAGTCTAATCACTCAGTAGAAGAGGGAGAAGAAGAAAGTATTGTGAGGGGAATACAGAAGCATTTAGAGGAATGCAAAAGTAGGCCTTGAAGAAGTTCTGTTCATGACCTCTTAGGGTTCTGTACAAAAACATGTCCAAACAGACTATAATGATAAGGTGTTTACTTTTGCAAAGAACCATGGGATTCTGAAATTATTTGTTTGCACAGTGCAAACGCATGAGTCGGTTTAAAAATGAGGATTTGTATTTACACAGGTCAAATAGGATGCATATGGATTTATTAAATACATCACTACTTTATGTTCCCTACATGAAAAAACATACTGTCTGTACTTCTAAGTATTTTGTTAAAAACTTAAACCCACTTATCGTGGGGAGCCAGGTAGCCTCGTGATTAGTGCATGTGCCTCATGTACGGAGGCTATAGTCCAAGTGGACAACCTAGGTTCAATTCCAACCTGTGGCTATTTTCCCACTTGTTATCCTTTACTTTCTCTCTCTATCTACTGTCATATCTCTAATTTAAACTGTTATTGTAGTTGTGCATTACCTTACCAATGTGGATTCTCTTTAAAACATATATAAATACTGGAAATGTCTTTAAAAGTCATATTTGTGATTGTAAATTCATTTTTATCAATCCTTCTCTAATCGTGTAAACTTCACGACACAAACACAAATTTATGACTAATGCTACATGATGTGAGTTGAATGATGGGAATGACTCCAAATAAAATGGCATGATTCCTCAGTGGTCAATATAATGTAACATCGATAGAAATGAAGTCACCACGTGATGTTGTGATAGTAATGGTTTTGTTGCACATCTGGAGTGCACAGAGCCATAATGTGGTGACAGCGATGCTGTCGCTCCTCGTTTTCACCTTTTCTCAGCTGAGTTAAGCTGTGAGATTGAGAAATCTATCGCTGTGGTCGTTGGATTCTTCACATCTTAAAGCCATTCTTAGCAGATTCTCCAGAGGCATGGTTATCGTTTTCACCCTCCCTCATAGCCTCAATGGGAATTTTACTTTGAAATGGTTTTTCCTTACTAAAAAGTCAAAGCTGATTTTCATATATGGACAATACAGATGTGGTTTATTGTCATACAGGAAAACAAAGACACTTCTGGAGACGATGGGAATTGGAAAAGGAAATGTTACGTTCCTTTGATGTTGTAACTTTTCGGTGCTAAGGATGGCTGTAAATGTGACGGGATGAAATGCAAACCCAAACACCACAAGCCGTAGATCTCATACTCACCTCCTATCCCAGGGCGAAAATTTCTGGCATAGCCCTTCATTAATTCATCCAGATTAGGTAACCAGGATATTTCAATGTCGGAACCTACATAGTCCCCAATGTCACTCAGCATGGCCCTAAAGGAGAGAACAGCAGACACAGCATCCTTCAGCAGTCATCCATGAAACCATTTGTTATCAGGAACGCTCGGAAACAGATACAGTCAGGAACATACAAAGAAAAAAAAAACAAAGCTCTGAATGTCAGAAAGTTTAGCTGTTGGACTGATATGAGGGTAAGACTGATAGCTGTATAGGTAAAAAGATTGCCCAACCCTCTTGTGCTGCATGTTCTTACCTTTATGTGAAATAACAATCCTGGACCCATAGTCTTCAAATTATTAAGTACAGTAAGTTGTGTGTTGTGAACAATTGAGGAACAAATACAATTGAATGTGAACAATCAGCTGTTAACACAACAATGACATAATAACAGGTTGCTGGTTTAGCTAAGTCAGTAGAGGCGTCCCATGTAAAGTGGCAATGCTTGTGCTTTTTCCTCCATCACTTCCATCCAGAAGGCAATATGTTGAAGGATTAAACTATTAAACTATTGACTTGGTTAAAAGTACTACTCCACTGTCGCTGCAGCCCAGGGGGGACTGCCCTGAGCAAATACTGTCAGCCACTACCTCCACGCAGGATGAAGAAAGAATAGCACAGCTCAGACACCAGGGGGCAGATTTGCATTACAAAACAGGGAGCTTGATACAATGCAGCTCACAGAAACCACTAAGACAAATACAACAGTGTGGATTATTGTGGTGGGTTTATTATTGTTAAATAACATGACAGACAGATCATATCATGAGATCAGCATGAATACACATAAAAACACAGAGAGTTGTGGGTTTTATATTCAGTCAAACTAATTAACCTTTTAATGAAATAAAACTTTGATTAATACTCATTTTAAAGACTTTTCATGCAAATTGAGTTAAAGTATCCAAGAACATAAGATAAAATGTATTTCAAACAGCTAACTTATTAAAAATAAATTCTCTATCAAGTACAGAGGCTTAAGTAAGAACAAATAAAAGTAAGCCTCTTATATATCCTTACCTGTTATGTAATGTGTTTATACAAATAATAAAATTAAACCTGATATATCTGTATATATGTATTGTATGTAGTACCTATACCTACTTTTGTAAGATATATAGTATATTAATGTATTATGTATAATATCTTTTTTCATAAGAAATGCATTGGTAACACTAATGGTTGGACTATAAGTATAAGTTCTTATATTTGTGTACCCCCCACTCTGAGTCTAAGTGCAGATATTAAAGATAACTTTACAGTTTATAAAATTACTGATAGGTCTTTGACTATGTTTATTTGTATCAGATGTTCAAATGAAATGAACACCATGATGCATCTGCATCTGTTTCTGGCAGTTTAACAGTCAACATTATGTTTTTCTCAACATTTCCCTTTAATGTCACTTGTAACATGTTAGATGGATGTCACTACCACACCACATGCAGAACACTTGAAATTATGTGTTTCCATATGTAAGTGCATCAATAAAGCTTGTATTAAAGGAGCTATTGTTCACCTCTCCTCTTGACAACTGAGCATGCAGTGCATGTATTGTTCTTCTTTCATCATGCTCATTTAAGTTAAACTGCTCTTGCTTCATCAACAGGTCTGCTCAACTAATATGATAATAATAATATATTAAGAGGCTAACAACTCTGTCAAGTGCAGTAGTATCTGCAGCAGTAGTAGTATCTGCATAGTTTAGGTGACACTGGATAAGTATCATTATTTAAGCACAGAATCAGCTCATACTCAATACTTGTATCAGTATTGGTACAGTATGTATTTACATGTACTTTAAATAATTATACTACCTTATTCCATCCTCTTTTTCAAAAGGATATTGAGAGAGAATTACTGCTTTGTAATCCTTTTTTGTCCCATAAGCCTCGAAAGTGTCTCCCTGTAGTCACAGTGAAGTAAAAGAATGACACTGCAGCGCCTTTAGTGGCTCATTTCACTTATAAAAAAAAACTCCTAGGCAGCTCAGTTGACGAGTCAAAGTAATATTCACCTCATGACATTAGACATTTTACTTTTTCATATGGTTCATTTTAGCTGTTTTCGTTCCATTTTTGATCGATTAGAGTTTCATCTTTAATTCAATTGCAAAACCTTCAATGTACCAGAAGGGCTTACTTTATTCCAAAATAAAAGCAGGGTTGAATTCAAACACTTAGAGAAAGACAGTAGAAAAATTCAAAATAAAAGCCTTACAATTGTATTTGTTAATGTGAAATAATGGAATTTAAAACATGTGATTAAAAATGAGATTAATCCCAATTAACTATTTAAATTAAGGGATTAATCACAATTACATTTTTAAACCATTTGACCGGACTAGTCTTAGTAAATGTAAAACCAAATTGTGTATCACATTTTTTATTATGACTCATATTTGCCCTGTCTTAGTGCCCACATTGTGCAAATGAACTTGCACTCCCCCCCCCCCCACACACACACACACACATAATGAAACGCTCAGCGGTTCATCATATTCTCACGCTACTTGTAACTGTATGTTACATCTAAGAGGTAGCTGTTAAACGACTGCTACTGCTCAGGGAAAATCATTCTTGAGTTGCACAGGGCCAAAAACTCCAGCTTAGGGACCGGCATATGCTATCCATCACTCGCGCTTGTTCCAATGCACATTCTGTCTTATAAACGCAGAAATACACACAGAAGCATAAACTCACATGTTCTTAAGTGTCTGATTTATAAGAATTCTTAATATATATATAGAACTTTGAATTTCAATCGAGCCCAGAGATATAGATGGAGACTGTCCAGTGTCCATGAGGTACACTTTGAAGAATATAGCCAAACATTACAGCGGAGAAATTATATCAATGTTTACATCCTACCTTTACTTGATTTTGAGTACACACAACATCAATGAACATGGCATGTCTGGAGATTTCAGTGATTAATGAAGTTATGCCTTTTGGCCTCACAAAGTTTACCCTTCTGATAGTTTCTAATGCCTCAAGAAAATTAATAATTTCAGTCTGCCATTAACAAACTTCAAACGGTTTCCTGTGTGTTCACACAGTTTGGCACAATGAGAGGAGAGAAGATAAATGAGCTGACCGGAATTTGGTCTATTTAAGAATAGATACTAAAACCCGTTGCCAGCCTACAGGTGCACCTGTCTCTTAAAGGGCTGATTGTTTCAATTCATGTTATGCCCAAAAACACACCTAAAATCAAGCATCTTAGTCCAGCCCCTTTTTGTTGAACTGCACTCCATGCATTTAGCACCTAGATTGTGCATAACTAGCAAAATTGGACAGGTCCCAAATCCCTTTGTGCCTTGCATTGCCTTGTTAATGTGTTTAAGACTGTCAAACTAGGCCCTGTGGTGTTGTTCTGAACAGGTGCACAGCTGGGACGTTCCTGTCTTGAGGAAGGAGAAAGCGACCGTGCCATAGACCAACAAGAACACAGTTTTGAACCCCTTTTAGAGCAATCTAAATCAGATCAGAATCAGAAATACTTTTTTAAGCCTCAGGGGGAAATTTGGAAGTACACAGTCTGTAGGGCATAACAATAAGATAATGGTGTGTCTGACTACATTTTGCTGTTCAGCAGCTCACAAACTGTGGGCAAAGAGACTATCATGTGACTTCTCTCCTTGCATTGTGCCTGAATATTACAGAGCATTCACAGGCTGGAGTATGAATTATGATTATGATGTTCGGATTAAAGTCATATTCACAGAATCATTTCCACAACATTGGACAAATCAGTGCCTTTCAAAATAAAGAGGGATGCTGTGTACATTCATTACATATTAAAAACCTCCAGACACGCCAACCATTTGGACGGGATGTTTTGTCAACTGGAATTCTCTGAGCCTAATGTATATATTTATAGGTGAAAAAAACTGCTCTGTTTTTCTAAGTTAACAAGTTAATTATCCTGAAATTATTTTATGTAAAATTAACAAAAACATTTAAGTGGCAAACATTCACAGACTGTTTCATTTGACTTAGTTTTATTTTAGTTTTGGTTTCACACGAGGGAGATTCTTGTGTCTTTAGGTAACAAGATAATGTTGTTATTAGTTTGTAGATGTTTACAGTTCAGACACAAACCCCACTCTGATCTGTCAGGATCAGCTATGCCTTTAAGACATGCTTCCCTGATATAACATGATGCATCTGAAATGCATAATGATTGGTTATGTGGTGACTCAAGAAACAACAAGGCAATTGCTGCAAATACTGGATCTCCATGAAGGTCAACTGAGACACCGGTGTGGTGACCAGAAACATGCACCTCGTCTAAATAGTCGTAACTCAGATAATTATCTCGTTAATTCATAAAATCAAAGCAAATCTTCCTTTTCTCATTTGAATGCAATACACTTCCATCTATATGCAACATTTTCATGGTACCAAAAGCAAATACTTCCTTTACATCATTCTCAAACAACAAAAACCTGTCCATTCCGACTGTGCACGACTGTATAAGCCAAAATGTGTCCATTCATATTCAGGTTTACTTAATGTTTTTTTTGTCTGTACACAAATGGTAAATAGTAAAGACTTGAGCTTGTACAGCGCTCTTATTAGTATTTTGACTTCTCAAAACGCTTTTGCATCGCAGGTCACACCTACACATTCACACCCTGAGGGCATATAGGTTTCTATGTAAAGCGACCATCAGAAGTAACTAATCCCATTCGTACACATTCATACGCAACTTGGGGTTAAGTGTCTTTCCCAAAGACACATTGGACATGTTGCTGCAGGAGCTGTGAATCAATCCCCTGACACCCCACAGCCACCACACAACCAGCAATGTACTGGCTCAACAGGGAACTGGACAGTTCATTAACCAATTAACTGCACTGGACCCTTCAGTAATCACAAGGTGATTCTAGATAGTAAAACAAACCAAATCTTAATTGAACAAAAATATTTTAAAATATCCCTCTACTTTAATCTCAGGCATTATTGATTCACTAACAGGGTTAGCACTGTAGAAGGATAAAGACACACCTTTCTTTTAAATTCAACTCAATG